CTACAGACATAGATCCAGGAGCCAGCAGCACAGGGATGTTGGCTAAAGCCAGAGGAAGCTAGCCAAGATCGTCCAGGGGATGTGTGAGTGATTTGAGAGAGGCACGTAGAACAGAACCCGGGGAGCCATCACAGTTAACAGGCAGACTAAGAGGAACCACAAAGAAGATTGAGACAGAGCAGGGCCAGAGTCATGAAGGAAAATATGAGAATGTGCTTCATGAAAGACAAGGGAAAAGAAGACTCCCCTTTTCACTCATTTATTCACCCAGCAAATATATTTTAAGCACCCTTTTTGTGCTGGGCACTGTACTAAGTGCTAAAGATTTAACAGTGAACGAAACAGACAAAGAGTCTATTCTCCAGGAACTTACAATCTAGTGAAAGAACAGACTGAGAATAGATGGACAAATAGATGCATCAAGTCAAGTGGTAAATGAAAGATGCAGTGAGGTAAGGAAGGGAGCGGGGCTAGAGGCGCAAAGCTGGATGAGGTCAGAGAAGGCCTCTCAATAAGGTGACGTTTAAGCTGAGATCTGAAGGACATGAGGGAGTAAACCATGTAGATATCTGGGGAGGAACATTCCCAGCACAGGGAACAGCCTGTGCAAAGGCCCTGGTGTGGGAGGGTGGCATGAATGTGGGGGAGCGAGCAAGGAGTAGGGTGGGTAAGGGAGCGGTGAGCCAGAGACGGCTCAAAGGAGTGACAGGAGCCAGCGTGTACCGGGCCTTGGGGGCTTCAGGAAAGGCTTGGGTATTATACTGAGCAAGAAAGGATGTTACAGGGGAGGGGAGACTTGAGAAGATGAGAAACATCACAATGGTCCCTGTGGTTTCTGTGTGGAGGACGGGTTGGGGAGGCCAGGGTGGGGTCGCGGGGCAATCTGCGTGCTATAGCAGTTACTCAGGTGATTATGGGGCTTAATCCAAGGTGACTGAGGTGGAAGTGGCAAGAAAGCATTGAATTCTGGATCTATTTTGAAGGTAAAGCTGAAATTATTTTTAATGCGTTGGGTGAGGGGTGAGGGTATGGGGAGAAGAAGAGGAGTCAAAGATGGCCTCAAAGCTTTTGGTCTAAGGAAGGCAAGGGCGCTGCCATTTTTGAATAGAATGAGCAGGGCTGAGAGGTGAGATTCAGAGTTGATTTTGGACTAATATGTTTGAGATGGACATTAGCCAACCAAGTAGAACTAGATAGTTGGCTGCCTAAGTCTAGAGGTCAGGAAAGAGGCCTGAGCTACAGACATAAATTTGGGAGTTGTAAGCATGTGGACCGTGGTTAATGCCATAGATTTGGATGAGATTAACAAAGGGAGAGGATTTTAGAGAAGTCATCCACGAGTGAACCCTGCAGGATCCAGCAATGTTAGTCACTGGGGTGGGATGGAGGGAGAACCAAAGAATAGTAGACACAGTGTCAGAGGATGCCCCAAGTTCACATAAAATGATAGCAGGGGATCAGCTTCATAACTGAGGAGTCAATATTGACCTTGGTGAGAACACAGCAGCTTCAGTGAAGACGAAAGCCCGAGGGTTAAGGAGCACGTGAGATGAGGAAGCAGGGAGAGTATAGGGAACTCTTTCAGAGGTCTGGCCAGTGACAGAATGTTTTTAAATGAGGGCGATGAGGACAGGGCCAAAGTAACATGCAAGGGTGGAGGATATGGGCCGAGAGGGCCTCAAAGGGAGTTACAGCCTCAGGAGAAGTGGGAGGTGGTGAAAGATGAAAGGAGTGGTAAGTGAAGAGTTGGTGAGGTGGGAAGGTTGTGTGCCAAGTCCTATGAATCCAAACAGGTCTAAGTGAGGGAAGAAAGGAGCCCAGGGGGTTTGGGTGAGAGGGGGACCCAGAGATGTCAGGGGGGAAAGGAGAATGAAGAGGATAGATGGAAGCCTATCTCCTTTACAGGAAGAAATCTGTCCTCAAGGGGAAGGAGATACCAGCCAGCTGTGTGAGTGGGCGTCGGCAGTGAACGTCAGGCATCGCTACATCTACGTGGCCCAGCCAGCCCTGAACAGGATCCTCGTGGTTGACGTTCAAGCCCAGAAAGTCCTCCAGGTACGTCTGTCCACGGAAGCAAAGGGACTGCCAGTGCTTGGGGCCCAGGCCGCCACATTCTCCTTTGCTTTCTGCACACCCACCGGGGGCTATGAGAGGCGGTCGGGCTGGAGGGGAAAGAAGCAAGGGAGACTCGTGTACAGTGATTCATCGAGTCTTTACTGCCTATGAGGTGCCAAGCACGTTCTAGGTGCTTGAAAAACAGCCAAAACTGAACCATGCAGTCCTAGAATTTATTCTATTTGGGGAGACAGGCCATAAATCTGAATTTTGGGGAGCTCAAGTAGTAAGAGCTATTTCACTAGAGGTGAAATGTGACAGAGGGACTGGAAGATGATTTTAGATTGGGCTTGCTCTGGAGGAGAACAGAATCTGAGCTCTAAATGTCCAGCGGGACTCCGACCCGGAGCCGGGGGAGGCCAGTGGGACCGGAGCACAGGGATGAGGGGGAGAGTGGAATATGATGAAGTCAGGAGTAAACAAAGGCCAGTAAGATGGAAAGTCACGAAAGGGTTTCAATCAGGGGAGTGATGCAGTGTGACTTGTATTTTTAAAGAGTCAATCTGGCTACTGTGTTAAGAACAGACTGGAAGTTAGAGCAGAGATGTGGTCACTGAAATAAGCCAGGCGAGAGATGATGACAGCAGTGGAGGTGGTGAGAAGTGATCAGATTCTTGATATATTTTAAACGTGGGTCCCAAAAGATTTTCTGCTGGGTTGAATGAAAGGTTTGAGAGAGAGGAATCACGTTTGTTTGCTCATTTGTTTTAACTTCAGCAACTGTAGAACAGTGCTGCCATTTACTGTGTGTGGTGGGTTGAATAATGGTCCCTACGATGCCCCCATCCTAATCCCCAGAGCCTGTGAATGTCACCTCATGTGGCAAAGGGGACTCAGCAAATGTAAGTAGATTAAGAATTTTTAAGTGGGGAGTTATCCTGGGTTATCTGGGTTAACCCTAAATGCAAGCAAAAGTGTCCTTATAAGAGAGAGGCAGGGAGAAATCTGACTACATAGAAGAAGGAGGTGATGTGAGGACTGAGGCAGTATCTACACTTACTCGATATGGAGATGTGTGTGTACACACACACACACACACACACCTACCCCTCAAATAAGCTGTTATGTTAGATAAACAGATCTGGAATCAAAGGAGAAGTCTAGACTGGAGATGTCAGTAACGGTATTATCACTATGTTAAATCCAGAGAATTGGATGAAAAATCACTGAGGGTGGTATAGACAGAGAAGAGGTCAAGGTTGGAGTACTCCAACAAACACTTAACGAGCAGGAAGGAGAGAAAAAACTAATGAGGAGTAGCTGAAAGATAGGAAGCAAATTAGGAGAAGGGTGTATTTCAGAAGCCAAAAGTGTTTTAAGGGAGAGCTAGTCGTCAGTGGTGTCAGTGTTGCTGAGGGCATGTGTATGTTATGAACACTGACCATTAGATTTGGGACATAGATCACCTTGGCAGGAGCAGAGAGGAAGGTGGGTAATGGCAGAATGCAAGCCCGATGGAGTGGATCCAAGTTAGGACAGTAGGTAAGAAATGGAGAGGGTGAATATAGACAACCGTTTCAAGGGGTTTTGCTGGAAACGTGACTACACATAGATAAATGAGGCAGTAGCTGGAAGAGGATGCAAAGGGGGCTTTAGTTTTAGAATAGGTGACATTGAAATATTCTGCTGCCACATTCTATCTTGCCTCTTCTTGTGGAACTCTGTTTTTAAAAAAAAAAAAGTTAGACCTTTCCATTTTATCGCACATCTTTTATTTTCCAGATCTTTTTGGCTCTTTGTGCTTTCCATTTGAATGTGTTCTATCCACCTTTCAGTTCACTACTTCTATATCTTGTGTCTAATATGGATTTAACAAACATTTATTGCGTTCTTAACTTCAGGTATTGCATTTTTCACTTTAGAATTTCTACTTAGCTCCAAATTACCTTTTCATGGATCACCTGTAGGTCTGTCTCTAGTGTCTGTTTTTATGTTCTTTCAGTCTTATAGTCTATATCTTGAAATGCCTAGTAATTTTTTGAATGTCAAAAATTCCATATAAAATATAATAAAGACTTTAGATGACTCTCATCCACCAACAAGGATTTACCCTTTCCTCTGCTAAGCAGAGAGTAGAGAATGAGTCATTTTAATCAAGTACTGAGTTGAGTCAAAGCTGAGTTGAAGTTTTTGTAAGGCTTTACTCCTGGTCCTAGAGTAAAGCCCTCAGGGATTTTAACTGCGAGTCAGAGACCGTTGTTCCTCAGTATATTGAGATCATGGAAAAGGGCAGACATTTGGGGTATCTGGAGGAGAATGTAGTCAAGAGGAGTTTTAAAAGAGAGATAGCGCACAAGAAACTAGAGATAGTGTCAAGATGGTGTGTTAAGAAACTCGGGGGAGATCGTGCCAGATTGTAAAGCCTTTGGTAGATGAAGGACGCATGCAGGAAGCTGGGAGATGGCAGGAACAAGAGACAGTAGCTGTAGACAAGGACAAAGGACCTGGGGTATGTGACGTGTCAGATAGCGATAGCCTCTACTTGAGGCCTCAGAGGACAGGAAGTTTTCATTAGAGCAAGAAAATAAAAGGAGACTTCGAAGATGGTGATGAATAGAGAAGAAATATATTTCATCAGGGATGAGCAAAAATCAAGCGTTCAGTTTTGTAAATGTTGAGGTCATCAACAGAGGACTGAATTCTGAAGTCATCAGAGCACAGTGGGTTATGTGAAGCCATGGTATTGGATGAGCTCACCCAGGGAAAGGATGTAGACAGAGAGAAGGTCAAACATGAAGACCTGGGACAGGCCCACATTTAGAAAAGCCAGGATGAGGATGAGTAGATGGGAGTGAAGAAAATGTTTCCAGAAGGGAATAGTTCATCATGTGGAATCTTGCTGAAATGTGAAGTAAGACGATCGCAGAGATGCTCCTGAGTCTGACACGTGGGGCTAGAACTGTTCAGTGGAGCAATGAAGACAAAGAAGTGGATTCAGGGACCACATAGGTTTTTAGAGAAGTTTTGACCAATGGGGTTTTCCCCCCTAAGATCAAAAAGGCTGGAATATGGTTCGATGAAATTGAAATTTCAGAAAGGTATAGATTATGGTGGCTGAGGTACAGAGGAAGAAAAGAGCATTGAAACCAAGAAGGAACTCAGAAAACAGAGCTTTGGACAAAGCGTCCACGTGGATTTGAAGGCACCGAGCTTGGGAACCAAGTGAGTGGTAGAGAAGACAGTGAAGCATGTGTTAATGTCTTTAGTGAACAAAGGGATTGGCTAGGACATTGGCCAATGACAAGAGCAGAGGTCATAGTCCAATGGCATGAGCATCACAGAACAGAGTTTTAGAACTTGTAATGGAGTTTTATAAGAAGTGGAAGAGAAAACAGTCTATTTGACAGGGCCATGGGGAATAGTAGTTTCCGTTCTGCCTGGTGCTGTAGTGAGTCCCGGAAGCTCCAGGTGAAGGATGCACAAGGTAGAGACTGCGAAGGTAAGGTGATGATGGCCGATCCGGGAGTCAGTTTCGGATGACCCAGGGGGAAGGGCCCATTCACCGGAATCCAGGCCTCAGAATAGCCTGGGGAAGGAAGCTGAGGCTTCGAGAGCCCAAACGGCGTCCAGAAAAAGTGATGGGAGTGTCCTCAGCTGATTCTTCAGTGGAAAACTTACAGTCTCTGTGTTGAGGCTTTTGCCAAGATGCTCTGGGTTTCCTTTAAGTAAAATATACAAGTTTTTAAAAGGGAGAAATTACTGACAAACCCAGAAGGGAGGCTTCTGCACCAGGTTCCCAAACGGGCTCATTGCCAAGCCCGCTGGGGTGGCCTTCCACTCATCCAGGAGTGATGGCCACGTCACAAAGCCCAGCAGTGACCACTGCATCAGCCTCTACAACAACCATGACCAACTAGTCACCATTTTTTTTCAAGTCCATAGGTGTGGACCCTCTGCCAGCTAAGCTGTCCTATGACAAGTCGCATGACCAAGTGTGGGTCCTGAGCTGGGGGGACGTGCGCAAGTCCCAACCAAGCCTCCAGGTATGTTGAACACATGGAGGCCGACACCTACCCTGCAGGAAAGGCCTCTCTCCTACCTAACAAATGTCTCCCACTTCCCAAGGTGGCTAATCATATTTATCCAAAGCATGTCCATAAAGCCTTGAGGAAACAGCCTCAGGCCAATTCCCCCCATAGGCAATCAGCAAGGCCTGCTGTTAAAGAGAGTAGTACTACGATGGATAGGATTCTGAGATTGTGACAGCCAGAATGGGGCTCCCGGGCCCCACCCAGCCCCATAAGCACCTGCCTCTCCTGAACCAGGAGCTCCTGAGGCCAAACAGCAGTGAAGCCCTGGAGTCCAGGCTTTCCTCCCCTTGGGCTGGGTGGGCTGGAGAATAGCTTCAAAGCAAGCACTAGATGCTGGCCAAGCATGAAGGGGAGGGAAAGAGGCTGCAGCAATTATGTCCATAAACAAGCACATTTCCCGAGTGTTTCCAGTGTGCTAGGGCACAGAAAAGTCAGGTAATTTGTCCAGGGTCCAACCCCAGCAGCCTAGCTCTGCAGCCCACACCTTCAACCTCTGCACCGCCTCCTGGGAAGTGCTTGGGCCCAGAGATCTGTAGAACCCCTCCATCCGCCAGCCCGGGAAGGTCCACACCACCCCTGTGTTGAGTGTGCCTGGCTCAGCCTTTCTCAGCACAGATGCATGAGAGGGCTGCACTGTACAAAAAGTGATTTAAATGCCTGTTTTCTTAGTTCTCCCAAAGATGGTGCATAAAACCATTCTACAATGCACAGAAAAGTTAATTCATTACACACAATGGGTGCCTCAGATTTTAGGGCTTAACTCTCTGTCTCAGAACCCCAGCTGAGAAGGGCTGTACATGGAGCCAAGTTCACCCTGTTCCCAAGAGTGGTGAGAGGCCAAAGACACGTGGGTCTAGAGAACCTTCTTCCCAAGGACTGACCACCACCCTGCCTTCCTCTGCACTGCTGCGCTGCAGAGGGTGGGGTGGGGACACTACCTCACCTCCTGTTATGGACACATAAACCAGTCCTGGGCCCCAGTAAGCAGACAAATAATAGCAACCCATTAGAGAACCTAGGAGGCAGAATAAAGGCCACTCAAAACAGGGTGTAAGCTCAGAGATACAGTATTATTATTGCTCCCTCTGGCAGCTCTAAGAAAGTACTTAAGGAAATCCAAGGGGAGGGGGCCACCAAAAAACGATTTTTCTGGACCTAAAAATGAACACAAATGATTCCCTAATTTTAAACTGCAGTAGGTAAGTTGAGAAATGCATGGTTTCTACTGAGACCCAAAACAGTCATCTGAAAAATGAGAGCGAGAAAATTTGTTCAAATCACAGAACAAATATATGAAGAGATTAAGACTTGAAGTCTCAGAAGTTCACAAAGAGAAAAGGTCACAGTTGGAATGGAGTCAAACACTAAATAAATTTGTAACAAAATTTCTGAGCTAATAAACTTAATCATGTAGATTGAAAGGGATCTACAAGTTCATGGCTAGACTGATGAGAAATGACACATCTCTGCCCTTCTTGGTAAAAGAATAAAGGGGAACTCTTACAAGGCAGAAAGAACGTTACCTGAAAAAGAAACAACAGTGAGATGGGCCTTGAACTTCTCACTTGCTACAGGAGCTGGAAGACCATGGGATCACATGTATGTGCTACTTAGATAAAAGGGCTAAAATCGGGCCGGCCGAGTGGCGCATTGGTTAAGAGCTGGCTTGGGATGCCAGAGGGCCCCGGTTCGGATCCCACATATGAGGGCCAGTGACACTGCCCTCCACAGCTAAGATGCTGAACAACAGCTCAACCTGGAGCTGGGCTGCCGTGAGTCGCGTGCAACGGCATAGGCTGCAGCCCCTGCTGCAGTGGGTTGCCATGGGCTACCGTGTGTAGCCAGCCTGAGCGGCCAGCAGCCGCAGTGAGCAGCTGTCCAGAGGCCGGCAACTGATCTGCCTCGCCTGGGAAGAGCGCAATGATGGTGCCAACTTGGGCCAGTGAAGCAACGTCCTCCACAACTAGACTGAAGAACAAAAAGGACAGCAACTTGTCTGTTCCCCTTCCCCCAATTCCCCAGCGCTGTTCCCATTCCCCAATAAAAATCTTTTTTAAAAAAAGGGGGGGGGCTGAAATCAAGAATCCCATTCCCAGCCAAGGTATCATTTACCTGTCAGGACAAAGAAAGCTATAAGGATATTCGACAATTCAGAGAGCATGTTTGAGGAATCAGATCAGAGACATCAAGATGGAGAAAGATAAAGAGGAGACAGTCGTAAGTAATGAACCTAGAGAGGAAGGTGTAAAATTGAAAGTAAGATGGATGAGGAGAAACAGTCTAGTAATGTGTAAGTACTAAACAAGGACGTTTGAATTAGGGGAGACACACTGGAAGAGATACCAGGCTATAACTAAAGATAAATTATCTCAGTAAAAATGAGAGCACAGAGTGTAGTAAAGAGGAGGGAGTAAGAATACTCAAAAATGTCATCTTGCTGGAATAAGAGAGGATATAGAGAATGTCATTTGAAATTAATAGCTGAGAACTGAATATCTCATTATTCCAAATGTGACAAACTGAACTGTTCTATTAAAAGCAGACGATCAGATTGGGTTTAAAAACAAAACAAAAAAACCTAGCACACATAAACCAAAGTGATAATAAAAGATTAAATTTAAAGGGGTGGAAATAGTGATATGAGAGGGACAAAAAATATGTACAAGTGGTAATAATATCAGACAAGACAGAATTTAAGGTTAAAAGCACTAACCAGCATAAGGAGAGACAGTATGTGACAACAAACAGCCAACAGATATAAAACAACATGACAACTAAATACACACAAAACAAGCATGATTAAAAATACAAAGGGAACTTGATTAAAAATGCACTTGAGACAAAATAATGACATGGGAAATTTTACTAATATGAATAAGGAGCTTGGTTTAACAAATATATAGAAAACCTTTCCTCTGCCAAATAGAATTTTTTCACATGTTCACATATAGACAAGTGTATCAGTAATCACAAAGAAAACTTTAACAAATTTTGTAGAAGTAGACGTTATAGGCTACATTAGCTAATAATTAGAAATAATTAAAATGTGACCTAATAGAAAACACTCCCAGATAGCTATTGGATCAAAAAGGAAATTAAAAGGGAAATTACAACTGTGTCATGCAATGAAATGAAAAAGGGACCATTTCACATCAAAACCTATGGGATACAGAGAAAGCTGTCCACATGGAACATTTGTGTTAATTTAGAAGAACAATGTGACTGGTGAAAAGAAATTAATAAAAAGACTGAAATTAATAAAAACAAAACAATAAAAGACCAAATAGAGAATCAGATAAATTCTTCACAGGTCTGATAAAAGAATAAAGACAAAATGAGAAATGATAAAGGGATATGGCTACAGATAGAGAAGGATGAAAATAATTCTAAAATAATCCTACACTGTAACTCTGGGGTGGCAAATTTAAGAAGAACTGGATGATTGTTTACCAAATGTAGGGAAAAAAACAAACTGACCTACCAAAAGGAAAACTTGGAATAGAACAATTATCTTGGGAAAGATTTTTTAAAAGATTGAAGCTCTACCATAGAAAAATGTACAGCTGAGTTTTCTCAAACCTTCAAAATATAATTTTAATATTATTTGAACTGTCCCAGGCCATTGGGAGAAAAGTGTACAGCTCCTTCGTTTGTTTTGAAATAGCCAGTATAATTCTAATTATAAAAACCGATTAGTCTATAGTTTTATTTTTTATACTATTTTTAACCTCACAAATGAAGAATCAAAATTCTAATCATGGTATTAGAAATAGAGCCCAGCAAGGCATTTAATTGCTCGAGCAGGATACAAATTCCCAGATGTAAGGATGGTTCACTCCCAGGAAATCCGTCAACATTATACATAACACAAACAAATTAAAACAGGAAAAAAAAAACTATGATATCTCCAATAAATGCTGAAAAGGCATTTAATCAAATACAGCAGACATTCTTAATTTTAAAAAAAGAAAAACACCTAAAATTAGGACTAGAAGGAAACTTTTTAAACATAATTAAGACTATTTTCCAGAAACCAAGAGCAAATTTCGCCTAAATGACAAAACACTAAAAGCATTTTAATTAATATCAGGAGTTAGACCATGACATCCACCATTACCATAATTGACAAATCTAGGAAATGCACTATGACAGGAAAATGAAATACGTAGATTGAATAAACCTACCTTCATCACTGTGGCCAGGGTTAAGGAAACTTGCAAAGGCTGCTCCTCATCACTGTGGCCAGGGTTAAGGAAACTTGCAAAGGCTGCTCCCAGAAAGGTCGACTGGCACAGCCTTTGTGGTAAGAATTTGGAATGTAAACCAAAAACCTCAAAACAGTGCTTTCTGACCCAGCGACTTGACTTCTCAGAACCTACCCAGAGGCCTGATAATGGCTATGGACAAAGATGTAGCTACAACGTTAAGTGTGACTGTATTGTTTATATTTGCAAAACAAAAATAATATCCTAATGTTTCTAAATATCCCACACTAAGGAATCGGTCACACAAACTTTGCTGTGACTACAGGAAGGTGTTTCTATAATGAAGGCTCACCCCACCAAGGACCTCCCCCAGCAGCCAGTGTTTGAACCTTCGGTGTCTTCTCTAATCCTGCCCAAAACTCTCTTGCCCATTTACTCCCGGGCCCAGCTTTTAACTGCCTCTCAGTCTGTCCCACTGGATACCTTGTCTTCTGCCCTTCCCCAAGTGTTACTTCTTAGCAGGCTTGTCCACCCACCGAGGGAGATGTTCAATATTCCTGATCCCATGTTGACTCAAGTGACATCTGATATCCAGATACGTAATGTACATCTCCTGCACCACACCCACAGAGCCAACAAGCTTGAGGGCTTTGAGAGTTACCTTGGGGCAGTGATGTTTCCAGCCACATGCAAGTACATAGGTCAAGGAAGAACTCATGACACAGAGCAATGGGGCTGACATGCCCTCAGCAGTTCAACAGCCCATGGTACTGCGTTTTGATGAAGTAACCTCTGAATATAGGGTGTCAGGGTGGTGAAGTGTGAATGACACTGACCGCTGACAGCCTGTAATTTTCCATCTCTATTATAAGCTAAAATGACAAGCCTTCTATCAAGCAATGATTGCTTGGCTTCCTGGAATTCTTGGGCATTTTCCCCTAGACTCTCTCTGATCCAGTTTCCAAATGCAGATATTTTCTTCATGCCTAGTTCTCTGAGTTTTGCCACATGGACTTGCCATAGAAGTGTCATTTGGCCATTTTTTAAAAAAATCACAGGAAAACAACCTAGTGCAACTTTAGAACTTTAAAACTTCCCCAAGAAAGACTGAAAATGACAGTCATCATTCCAATCCGGCATTCTGCCTGCTAACCCCCCAGGGAAAAGACTCAGACGTCAAACCTGCTTGAGGAGGCAGCCCCGACTGGAAAAGGTATCCAGAGCTCCAAGTCTTGGGAGTCAGAGTCCCACCCGAGACCGTCCTCACTTCAGACTGCAGAAATCTGGACCCCTCCTCCTGTGCATACGGCCACAGCTTCAAGACCAGGAGGAGGGTCTCGCCGCCCGGCTCAGGGTCTAGCCTCTGCCTCCGGTCCTGCTCGCAGGGTCTGGGCTTGTCCTTGGGGCCCTCGAGCCAAAACGGCCCACAGGCTGGCCAAGCTCCTCACCTGGCTGCAGGTCAGCCACCTTTGTGGGCAATGGCCTGGGGCTTGGAGGCTGATGAGCAGGTGCAGAAGGCAAGGGGACACCGGCTGTCTGGCTCTGGGTCTCCCGCCTCCCCAGGCCCCAGTAGATGATGGACAGATGCCCAGGCTGACTCCAGGGGGCTTTCTGGCAGGACTTCTAGAGCACTCTCTCGTCCTCTCTAACCTCAGACATCACTCAGCTCTCTGTTGTGCACTGCCAGTGCGCTGTCGCAATACAGACACAGCAGGGACACACACCAGCGACTGGCTCAAGTCACCTCCCGCCGAGTCCACAGGGGAGAATATGGAACCTCCAGTGAAACACAGGCAGCCATGCTCTGTCACTACGAATATGTACCAAACACAGGGCCTAATTCTTGACTGCTCACAGCAAGTTCCCTTTGTGAAACTAACTTCTCCCCAGCATTCTAATCACAAGGCCTCTGATGGCATGACCATCCTGAATGACACTTTTTCTAATAAGTTATGGAGTCCCAGTTCCCTGAGAACACCTCTGGTGAGCAGTACGTGGCATTCACAACAGACCCGCCCAGATGCCTGGCTTCAAAAGGAAATAAAGAACCAGTGAGCAATTCCACCATTTGACGTCTTCATTATTTAAAAGCTCTCGCCTTTTCCCAGGGTGGCCTGGGTGTTGGTAAGGTGGGCTTCCCTGTTGTGGGGGAGGTTGTCTGAGCAACGTGATGTTTCGGTTCTGGGGACCTCCCTCAGAAGCCCCACCATGGTCCCGGCAAGTCCCCACTCTGCCATCACGGTGGCTGACAAGGTGCAGCAGGTCAGGCCTGACTAAGCAGGAGGAAGCGATTCAGGCATTCACTCCTGTCCCACCACTTCCTGTCCCAGGAAGGCAGGGTCCCTGCCCATGACATTCTGGAGCAGCTCTCACCCTGTCGCCGCCCGCTCCCCAACACTGTGGCTGGTCCATCATATCTCTCCAGCAGCCTCTCTGTTGGGGGTCTCCAACCCAAGCATGCACAGGTCTCCAGGTTTCCAGGCCCCACATGGATGGGCCCTCACCAGGACTCTTGCTCTGTGTTATAGGTGATCACAGAAGCCAGCACCGGCCAGGGCCAGCATCTCATCCGCACACCCTTTGCAGGAATGGACGATTTCTTCATTCCCCCAACAAACCTTATTATCAACCACATCAGGTGAGACCAGCTGGCGAGGCCCTAAGGCGCTCCAAGTTCCGGGTGTGCCATGCATGGGGCACCTTTGCCCAGGGTGGGACATGCTCCTGTCTCTGTCTCCCCCACTCCTCCTGGGCTGGCTTTGGACCCCATCGGGAAGGGGCAGAGAAATGGATCCATCCCTAGTCCTTAGTTGTTAAAGTTCAGGATGGCACACAGCTCCTAATGCCCTCAGAGGCAAAGTGAGGTCAGGAAGTCTCATCCTCAAGGTCCTCAATAGAGGAAAGGAGGAAACAGCAGGGATTAACTGAGCAACCTTTCCTTGCTAGATACAAAAACCAGCAGCAGTGGTCTCAAACCTATTTTACAGATGAGGAAACTGAGACTCAGAGAAGTTAAGATACTGGCCAAGGTCACACAGCCAAGAATTGGCAGAGTCAGACCAAATGCAAAGCCAAGTCTCCTTTCAGTGCCCCATTCTGCCTTATTTTCTGCTATACAGTCCATGGTTCCTCTCAGAGCCCCCAGAGCAGCCAGGCAGGGGGACCCACAAGGAAACGAGGCCTCCTGGGTGCCTGGTTTGCCACCATCCAAAAGAACATCCTTATAACAACAGCCATGGCCTCAGCTGCAAACCTCATCCCTGCCTGCCCACACCCCCTCCCTATTCATTTCAGAGTACCCCCATATCTCCTATAAAGTCGCCACTGCCAGAAGACTAGGCCTGCCCTTATATAGTCATCAAGACCCAATTGTCATGTGGCACTATTTATGCCTTCCTTTAATTTCACATTAAGCACCTTTCTCCAGGAAGGAATTACTCACTGTTGCAAGCTGATGCTGGACCTGTAAAAATAGGGCTCGCCTATTTATTCTTGCCCAAGGAGGAAAATAACCACCGTATGACACCCCCACCCCCGATCCCGACCCCTAGCACAGCAGCAAGTGCCTGGGGAAGAGCCTCTAATGTGGTTCTAAATGGGGACACCCCTTCAGAGCCCTGAATTCAGCTGGGAGTCATGCAAACTCACTCAGCAGTGCCTGTGTGTGGCTTCACATTTAAGTTCCTTATAACAAAGAGTGGGCTTTATAGATACTTTAAAATGGGCATTTTCCCCACTCTGAGGCAGTTACCTAAGAGAAAATTGTGGAGGAAGTTTTCTCCATTCTCATAGGCGGACGCAGTACCATATCTGCAAGCGGGGTTTAGGAGAGGCTCTCAAGGTCAAAGTAAAGCAGAGCCAGGCCTTTGCAATGGCCCTCAACCAGGAATTTCAGGAAACCCAAATGTGAGCTGCTACCACCTACTGAGCTCTCCAACAGCCCTCCCAACAGCCCTCCAAGGGAACTGCCCTCTTCAGGCTCACAGAGGCTCAGACAGGCAAGCACCTTGCCCCAGGCTCTGCACCTAGCAGGGCACTCACACCAGGCCTTCTGGCTCCAAAAGTAAAGGCCATCGTTAGCCCCCTGCCCAAGGCTCCTCCCAGCAGCAGCATAAATGTGGCCAGACAAGAGGCTGCCCCTTCCCGTTCCTGTCTCAGGGAGAGGGCGCGCTGATGGGAAACCTGGGCTTTGTTTCATGGCCTCGGCATCCTCAAATTCTGACTTGCGAGTTAGTTGAAAAAAACTGCTCGGATGTAGGCTCTCCCACCTTGTCCCTCACAGCAGGCACGGTCCTTTCCCAGCTGGCACATGGCCTCTGGGAGGCTATTCAAAGGCAACCCAAAGGGAGAGGCTGCTGGAGGCACCTTTATCCTTCTCACTCTATCGTTTCTAAAGATGAGTGCCTATCACCACGAGAGCAGAAATCCAGGAACATTTGTAAATCGCTGTATCTGCTTTGAGATCATAGATGAATCACTTATGAAGCCACCCCCTGCAGAATGGTAGATCTTATCAATAGGCTATTAGATCATTGATAAAGGGGAAGAGAACGGCTGAAATCTTGCACGGTGTACAAATGAGGGACCCCGAGCCCCGAGAGGCCCCCCAACCTCTGACCTCAGTTCTTCCCCTCCCAGGTTCGGCTTCATCTTCAACAAGTCAGTCCCCGCAGTTCACAAAGTCGACCTGGAAACGCTGATGCTGCTCAAGACCATCGGCCTACGGAGTCACCGCTGCCTGCCCCAGGCCATGGCCCACACCCACCTGGGCGGCTACTTCTTCGTCCAGTGCCGACAAGACGAGGCCACTTCTGCTCCACAGCTGCTAATCGACAGCGTCACGGACTCCGTGATTGGCCCCAACAGCGATGTGAGCGGCACCCCACACGCGTCCCCGGACGGGCGCTTCGTGGTCAGCGCGGCCACCGCCAGCCGCCAGCTGTACGTGCAGGAGGTCACGCTGCGCGGGGAGATCCGGACCCTCTACCACCTGAGAATACGCCAGGGCATCTCGGACTTGGCCTTCCAGCGCTCCTTCACCCACAGCAATCAGTACTACGTGTACGCCACGCTGGAGGCAGAGCCCGCCCTGCTCTTCCTGGAGCTGTCCACCGGGAAGATGGGCGTGCTGGAGGACTTCAAGGAGCCGCCCGCGGGCCCCGCCCGGCCCTGGGGAGGGCCCCGCAGGATCGTGAGGGACAGCGGGCTGTTTGGACAGTACCTCCTCACGCCAGCCCAAGAGTCACTGTTTCTCATCAACGGGCGACAAAACGCACTGCGGTGTGAGGTGTCGGGAATAAAAGGGGGGACCACAGTGGTGTGGGTGGGCGAGGTATGAAGGAGGCCAGCCCAGAGCCTGGGCCATGGAGCCCCACTTTGTCCTGTCACCGCAGCCCCAAGCAGGCGCGCTGTACATTTTTTTACAGACAAAAGCAAAAACCTGTTATTCGCTTTGTGGTTCAACACTGGTCTCCTTGCAAGTTTCCTAGTCTAAGGTATGCGCTGCTAAACCAGACTGGGGTTTTGTTCGTTAGGAAGTATGAGGTATGCCTTGAGCTATGTGGAGAACCCATGCTGCTGTGTAACGGAGTCATTTCTGCGCCCAGCGACACGCCCGCCATGTTACCTGGGAATGCCATGGGACCGAGAGCTCTGCTTTCCAGGCAGACACTTCCGTCGGTTGCCTTCACGTCCTCATTCTCCTTTACCGCCAGATCCAGCCAGACTTCACCCTGATGGAGTGGCCTGAAACCAGGCCTGGAGACACGGGCCCACCAGGAGCATGGGCTTCCCCTCCTGGCACCAGAGCCACATCTGTCCTCGCTCTGCACCTTCTTCCTCCTTTGCAGCTGCTTCTTGCTTTTCTTTCCATTTGACTTGTAAGCCTGAGAGAGAGCCAACAAGACTATGGCATCTTGGGGGATGGGGAAATCACTCACTTTATTTTGGAAATTTTGATTAAAAGATAATTTTTTATAATCGCAAATGCTAGTAAGCAGAAAGACGCTCTCCGAGGTCCAGCGCTATTCTTCCCTGCCTTAGGCCAAGTCTCTGAGAGTCACCACCCCACATCCCACAGCCAGAAAGAACATTGGTCATCAAAGAATAACAGTCCTCTACACCCCTAACATCCCAAAGTGCAGATCGGGCCACCACACTGGTAAAGACTCCATTCTGGGTTGGGACCCCAAGAGACCAGGACAAACCCTGCATGCCTGCTTTTCACCACTGAAGAGAGACATTAGTAGCCAGACCCAAGGAAGACTGGGCTTGCCTGGCAAGGTGTGAGCAGCCTGCCGACTAGAGACCTCCAGGCTCAACACAGAAACCCCAAGAACACAAGTGGGATCCAGGCGGGTTCCATTAGGTGATCCCCTTTAAAAATTAGTTTCTTTTCTGCCTGTGGCCCTTGCACTCAGCTCTGGTGCCCCCAGCCCCTGCATCATCACAGAACAGTTAGCACAGTGTTTTCAGTAAGTGTTATTCTTACACACAGGCCCCTCTCTCCCCTTAATACACACTTTAAAACACAGAATCAGAAGGATTCGGCCGGTTAGTATCCTGCTGAATTATTCCCAAATGTCTCAGGCTATGGTGGGCTCTCAGAAGTACAACCCCAAGCAGCCCTGTAAAGACATCATGTGTCAGAGAACCCCTGGAAGGAAGAGGCTCCCTTAAGCTCTGAGAACCCCCCTTTCCTTCTCACTCACATCATTGGCCATCACTCTGGTATGCTTTCTGGCTTAAATGATCATTTTTCAAGCCACCTGGCATTGGGAGAGGTGGTCCCATCACGGACACCTTAGTTAGTTTCGCCCTTTCACCGGACAACACAGTCATGATTTTCCTGTGCTGCTGAGGAATGGCCCCTTTCCAGGAAAGGAAGATACAGACCCTGCCTCACTCTAAATACGCACAGCTCTCTTTCACTCCCACCTGACTGCCCAACCCACCTGAGCCCCCACCCCCTCCCCGTTCCCTGAGATCAGCCAGTCTTCTCGTGTGTCTCATGCTTAGTTCACCAAACACCTGTTCCCTACAACTCCAAGGAGTGTGCCTAGGTTTGTACAGTCACACTTTAAATTTTTTTAAAAGGTTAAATATGTAGATATAGATTGAAGAAACTGACTTCAAAAGCCTAATATTCAGTTTCACGATAGCTAGGATGGATGACTAACACATCTCACCCTTTCTTTTTACCCTTGACACGTACTTCCAAACTCCCACTTCTATCACTGAAATTTTCCAATTTTAATGAACTTCGCTCTTTGGAAAAATCTTCTAAATTGTGGCAGCCCCTGGCAGAAAAAGTCTCTGAGCCCAACTGAGAAAGAGCCCCGCTGATGGCCAGACCCAAACGTTGGTCCCTCTGTGTTGCAGGATTCCTAAGTAAAAGACCAATCTGATCCCAACTGGCCTTTGAAACTAAGAATGACTTCTGTGGCATCTGCTCCTTTTCCACAATTCCCTCCATTTCTAAGTGTGTCTAAAAAGCATAGCTGCCTCTCATTGTCCTCCTCACTGTGCAGTCACGAGAGACGGCCAGCTTTGGTCTCACTGCCCACATGCCAGACACTATCGAATCAGAGCAGAGAATCACAGAACTGAAATTATGAAATTGACAAAATCACAAGGGCTGGAGGGTCAATGGTTTCTCAGCACTGCAACCAACAGAACTGCTTGCATGGGAGGCAGGGGAAAGGTTGGCCCCAGAAGAGGCTCATGGAACACAGTTTGAAAGCCACCGGGGTAAGAAGTCATCTTAACAGGTGGGCCTTGAAGCAAACCCAGCCAGTGATCTTCCTAAAATACACAAAAGATCAACTAATTACTACTACTTCCCATTAAAGAAGTAACCCTTTCACCAAAAGAATCACCAAAAAAGCTGCTTACATAATGAACAATTTCAACATTATTGAATTTTGAAATAAAATTAATTTCACAAAAATTCAACATCGATTTTTTTTTCAGAATAACAAACACATAATCTACACCTGTGTTGACATTAAAGCTTTGAAATGAAGGCCCTCATTCTCCTGCCCAAGTGAGCAGAACCCCACAGGGAGGTTCTGGGTTCAAAAGCCCGCCCATCTGCCCCAGACTGGTGATAGGAAGAGGGATTTATCTGTTTCTAGACAATTGCGTAGACTTTCTGCACAAGTAGGCCTGGGCATAGACCACACCCAAGATGGCAAATGCCTGCCCCAGCAACCCTGACCCAGCGAGCCCTGCCTGGGGTTGGCCCTGGCTTCTTTCTTAAATCTCCAAGTCATTCGAGGGTCCTACTACCTCCCCCAAACCCCCAGAAGTAGCCAGAAGAGCTGCTTGAAAGTCTTGGTAGGGGCCAACCGCTACCACTAAGCTTCAGATACTTCGATCTAGAGATAGTGTCACCAGGCACAGAAGCTCAGTCTCTGCCATTCCCACTCCCTACCCGGCCCCCTCCTCACCTCCCTGCTCCTCTGTACAGAAAAGGGCACCTGGCTCCAGATAGGTGTCCTAGAGGACAGCTCTCAACCCCAGATAAAGCCAAGAACCACCCGCTGCCCTGAAATGGTAACTGCTGAGTCTTCATGCAGGAAAGCAGCCTGGAGTCCACTTCGTACAGCTACAACTTCCTGTTGACCAAGAACCTGTGAACTAAAGGCCATTTCAAAACTGAGCTGTGAAACAGATTCATTTGGATATATTTTTCTACAAGGGGCTTAAAAAATAATCGATTGATATTTCAGAATGTGTTTCCTTCATATACCACGGATGCTGCACCAGCTTTATCACCAAACCCCACAGCTCGCCCTCTCTGTTCCTCCTCTTCAGAAGCAAGACTTCAGGGGAGTTAACACCACTCCCCCCTCCCTCCTACGCATCCGCCAATCTACCTCACATCCTCCTCCCTGCACCCAGCTCTAGAGCGCTGGCCCCATGGCAGGAGGCCAGACAGGTGATGCAGGACAATGACAATGCTGACATGAAGGCTTTTGCCACCCTCCCCCACCCAGGACCCCAGATCCCACTCCAAATGCAGTCAGAACTCATGGACACAGCCCCTTGCTGCCCTGACTCACACCCCCCAAACCTTTGCTTGCTTGCAGCCCTTCGGAGTTAGGTGACCAAGACTAGAGAGAACTCAGAGCCATCAGGGAAGTCAGCTGTTATCAGACAGAAACTGTTGGAGAAGGACAGAGACCGTGACATCTGAGCCAAGCCTCGTCCCTTAGAGGGCCTGAGCTACAGCTCCGTGTATTCCATTTTATTCTCTGTCTTCCCCTTCCCACGTCTTGGGCCTTTTGCTCCTACAATTCACATGGCAACCAACCTGACCGCCACATCAGCCCCCATGGCCTTTGTCCATGCTGCTTCCTTGCATTGTGGTACAAGTAAGAAATCATGCAGAGGACTAGATGCTACTATTTGCCCCCAGACTGGCACACAGGCAAAGCAGTTTCGTTCAAGAAAGTCTCAAGCTTCCTTGGTTTCTCTCCAAAATCATAGAGATCACAGGACAGGCAGAGTTGCTTAAAAGATTCAAAGGGAAAATATATAGTGCCTATCCTCAAGGTGTAACTGCACGACTCTAAATACCTGACGGAATACAACCAACTTCTGGCTTTGGTCTACACCAAATTACCTGCCAAGTCATGTGAGGATGTGAGCACCTTCTCTGGGCCTGCAGGCTTTAGGCACCACCATCCAGCAGACAGCAGGAGCCCAGCAAGCAAGGTCTCATGCATCCTCTGGAGCTCTGGGCAGCAAGTGGGAATTGAACCAAACACAACGTGTAAAATTATGGAAAATACAGACTGGGGATTGGGCTTCAACATTCACAGCGAGGCTTCTTTAGCCAGCACCAGAGTGTTGAGTGTGTGTTTGTTTGGGGTTTTTTTTGATAAAGCCACAGTTCACACACTCCCCTTTCCAAGCTCACTTTGACTAATATGCGACCATCCCTTTTCCCTGTGGCCCCAGAGAACATGGGCCACGCCCTACAGGGCTTTAGAGGGCTTCGTCTGCACTCCACAAAGCAATAACTGTTAACTCACCCCAACCCCAAGCCTGGTGACATGTGACTCTCCACATGTCACCATTGCAGGATAGGAGAAGACTGCCTTCTGGGGGCACCCTCTTCAAGATCGGAGCTTCATTTCTGAGGAAGGGCAACCAGTACTGGCTGGTTACAGGGCCCAAGAGCTCTCAAATGAGAACATTTTTAAAAATCTAAACCTTCATCCACAGCCCAGCGTGATGTCTGCCATAGGTTTAAGAGTTGTTGGTCCCTTGCTACTTCAGCTGCTTCAGAGAGGTAAGGGACAACAGATCTGCAAGCTACACTCCCCCCCACCCAGACCCACAGCACACCCTTCTGTGGCGCCCCGTTGGCCCACACCCTCACTGCCCGGCTCCTGTGGCTGGCCAGCACCCCCGCCCTGGTCCCGTCACACCCTGCCTTCCCCAAACTGCTTGCGCTTTCTGAAGGCCTTGTAAGGTGATCTAAAAGCAGAACTGGGCATGGAGTTTTGCTGGAGTGGTCACACCCTGTTTCCTGCTGTAGTGTAGCTGAATGACCCTCAAGATATGATGTCACACACACACCATTTATCCTGTTAGGATTCTCATCCTCCCACACCTCAGAAAACTTTCAGATCTCTTATGTCAAGGCAGGTTACGTTATTTTGAGCAGTTGTGTAGATTCCAAAATATATTTTCTGTAATCACCAGTATTTCTCAAAAGGCCTCCTGTAATTACTATACATGTGAATTTTTCCTTATTTATAAAATATATATAAATTATTTTTAATACATCAACTTTAGTAGAAATTTGTACCAACACAGTAACAGTATGTGGCATTTGAAATAAGTTTGTGTTTACTTTGATGTATTACACAGTATTGAACATGCCGTGTGTTTGCAGCACCACTTGATATAAAGCCGATTCACAAGTTATCATAAAGTATTATCATTGTAAATGCTCTTTTTCTGAGGATTTTACAATAAAACTCGAGAAAAGTTACCTTTCCTGGTGCCAGTCCATTGGCAGTTGTTAAAGTGAGAACTGGTTAGTGCGGGACCTCCCTGGCCCCTTCTCCTCCTCCTCCATCGCCAGTATAGGCTTATGACGGTCAACGCGAAACGGCCCCTGCTCCAGCCCGGTCCAAAAAGCTGCTGGACAGTCAGGTACCTGACCCCAGAAGTCTCTTCCCCATGTTGAAGTTTTAGCTCCCATAATGCAGAACCAACATCTGGTTCAAAACTTCTCATCACCTGCCCTGTCAGGCCCTTAAAATTCTCTGCAGTCCCCAGACTCTCACTCATTCTTGCCTCCAGACTTGGTTCTCACTGGGGCAGACTTTCCAGCAAGGATGTAGGGTGTATTAAGTGCTCAGTAATCACCAGGCTACCAATGTAGAGTGCCTACTATGTGCCAGCACTGTGATAGGTTCAGGGGATAGAGGGCTGGATGAAGTAGACCCAATCCCTGCCCGCGGCGAGCTTCAAGTCCACTACATCATGACTGTTAGTACAGGTTCTCCAGAGAATCAGAACCAATGGGGGGGGGGGCAGGGAGAGTAGTGGGAGATTTATTTTAAGGAACTGCCTCATGCAATTGTGAAGACTGGCAAGTCCAATATCTTCAGAGTAGGCTGGCAGCTGGAGACCCAGGGAAGGGTTGCAGTTCAAGCCCAAAGGCAGTTTTTTGGCTGAATTCCCCCTTCTTCAGTGGAGCTCAGTCTTTTTCTCTCAAGGCCTTCCACTGATTAGATGAGGTCCACCCATACTATGGAGGGTAGTCTGCTTTACTCAAAGTCTACTGATTTAAATGTTAATCTTATTAACAAAAAATACTTTCAGAGCTACAGCCCCATGTTTGACCAAATATCTATCTGGGTACCATGGCCTAGCCAAGTTGACACATAAAATTAACCATCACAAAGACATAAACAAGATGTCGTACCTCTCCTTCCTGGGGGAGTAACCTGCTATGTGCCAGGCACTGTGATGAGCACTTAATGAGCACCTGTTTTAAACTTTATTATACCCCATCAAGGAAGATATTGCTATTTCAATTTTAAAGAAGACAAAACTGAGGCTCAGAGTAACAGAGCCAGGATTGAAGTTCAAGTCTATATGGACAAAACTCATGTTCTCAAATCGTTAAACCAGCTACCTGCAATACCCACCTCAACAAAAATTCCGAACCATGGCAGTTCCAGCCTCATTTCCTTGCAGACCTCCTGGGTGGCACAGGCCACGTATGGTGGGGTCGTACTCTGCTCTAACTTCCACCTCAAGAGAGCCAACTGCCCAGACTAGTCCTCAAGATTTGGGGTCTGGCCAGTGCCCTCTGGTCAAGAGGAAATGTGTCTGATTAGAACCCAAAAACTCTTGGTAGAAAGCAGACAGCCTGAGCCCATTTGCTCACTGTCACCAAGCTCCTCACCACACACACTCTGGATATCTCCATTCAGCCCCAGGACACCAGGTATTGGGGTGCAGCCCACCACAAGACCTGCTCCAACCAGGTGGCAGAAACTTCTAATGGGATGTTCCACCCATTCCCTCCTAACGACGCCTCTCAGAGAGAGGCAACGTACTGGGGCCCAGCCCCAACATGCCCAGGTCTGGGAGATCTAGAAGGCCAGACCTCTTGGCTCTGCCCACAGCCAGACACCTTCACAGCCTTCTCAAAGCATCTACTCCCTTGTTGAACCATCATTTTCCAAAAATCATCTCTGTGCCCAGGTCCTGCCCACATGGAGCCCACAGTCTGCAGGAGTCAAATGGACCCAAGAAGAACCATTGGGACAGCAGGGGGACATGCAGGGGGCTTGGTCAGGAAACGCCTTCTGGATGAAGTGAAGTGGAAGCCAGTAGAAGGCCCAAGTGAAGGACAGTGGGGGCGAGAGCCTGCCTGCTGACAGGAACAGCAAAAGCAAGGGCTGATGTGAGAGAGAACAGCAAGGATCTTGGCACCACAGGCACGACAGCGATGTGAGGGGATGTCACTACACAGAGCGAGGCCCGAGGTGGAGGGGCTGCATGGTGAGGCACCATGTTGTTATGGAGACAGAGAGCATCCTCTGGGCTCTGGGGAGCATCTTCCCAGTAGGGACACTGGGGCTCAGAGTGTCTAGGTTAAGTGGAGGAAGGAAAGAGAGATGCCACCAAGAACAGTGACTTTGTTCATTAGCCTGCACCCAGGACCCAGATGCCTCAAAGCTCAGGCACCCAGCTACTCACAGCTTGGGATCACTCTGCTCAAGGGGATGCGGTCTCCTGGGTTCCAGGAAGCCTGTCAGAAAAAAAAAAAAGAGACAGGAAGCAGATGCCCCTAGGGCAGGCAGGCAGGTGGCCATGGCATGGATCCTTTCCAATGAGCACAGAGCCCAAGGACTCTGAGGACCAGAGGAGCTGCCATCAGGGACTGCAGGGCAAGAGACAGGTAGGAGGGGGGGTGTGCAAACAAGCTGGGGCCGCACAGGGTGGGAGCGGGGACAGAGAATGGGGTGCCAGGAGGGAGGAGAACATCCATACAGAAGTGAGGGACCTGAAAAATAGGGGGTGCACAGGCCCCAGGGGGGCTGAGAAGACTAAGACAGGTCTAGGGTCCAAACACCCCAATCTATGGGGCTGGTAGGCCATGAAGGGAGATTGGGGGTGTCTGGCAAATGGTCTCAGAGCCACAATTCTCTACTAGCCAGGCTAGCTATGTCTTAATATAAAATTAATATTAAAGTTTTAAAAATTAAATGTTATTTATGCAATAAATAATACATTATATTTAAGTCTAAATGGGTATCATCTTTATGTGTACAAAGATAGCATCTTTATCTGCCCAAAGAAAATTAGTTTGTTTCCTTAGCTTACTTCTCCAAGGCCATTGGCCATCAGAGTTCATTCATTCTGAGCCAGAGTTTCCTGCTAAAATGAAATCCAGGTATCAGAACTTTGATGTTGGTCAGCAGTGAGCAGCAGAACTGCCAGGCAGTGTCTTGAGCAGCCCAGGAAGAAGGGGTGGGAAGTGACAACCAATATTCCCCACACTGTGTACAATGACAGAATGCACCCCCAGGCAGACCAGCAACAGGGGGGCTCTCAGCATCCCCAGGGCACAAGAGAGAATATGACTCACGGAGATCCCAGGAAACTCCAAAAGGAGTCACGGCCCTGCGCTCACACTGGTCAGACCTTCTGAAAACCCCAGGGCCACCTGGATCTGCACTTGCTGACATACACGCTAATATTGTTCCAGGACGTAAGAGAACTCATGGTGTATATCCTCATTTTTGCAAAAGAATCCTAGCGGGGAAAGTAGGTTCAAATGTTAACCACTGAATTCTGGGATTTATAAGCAGATCTGGTTTCCTTCTATATGCTTACTCATATTTTCTAACATTCCTACAATGAGCTGTGTACATCACTTTCATATTAAGAAATCTGGCATTGACACCCCCTCATGAGTCACACAGATGCAGGGCAGAGAGCAGTCATTTCCCATTCACTCTTGCTTTCTTTGGGGCAGGCAAGGTCAAGTAGGACGCATATTTTTGGTGGGGCACTCTGAGGGGAGATGCTAATCTCTCAGGCGTACAGAGCTAAACCTGCCTAATCTTTCCCACGCAGCTGAAGGAAGAAAAACAAAAGAGATGAGGGCCCATGGAAAGACAATGGAATCATTCCTACCATCCAGCCCAGAATTCTTCCGTGGACCTCCACCAGATAAACGCCTCATCGGTTCCTACCTCAGAAACAACGGCCAGGCTTCCCTCCCTGAGCATATATGGCAGATCAGATTACTCAGAACAATTCGACCATTAAAAATACTAGATTCTTTTTACAAAAAAGAGAGCACCTTCTTAAATATCAAGGAGGTGAGGAGTGAGGGAATAAGTGAGAACCCAGAGATGGAAGCAGGACCATGAGGCTGCCATTTTCCTGGGGCCCCTTGTCTAGCCAGGCAAACTTGGGCTTTCATTCCAACGGGCTTTCATTCCAACGGCCTCACAGGAAAATGGGCAGGACCTACCCAACGTGGGACTCTTACAGGACCTCCTCTCCACAGGAAGCTGGAGCCTCAAAGGGCTACACCCTCACTAAGACTGAATTGAAAGCCAACTGGTTTATCTCCACCCAGCTCCAGGGAACCTCAAGGGAAGTTGCCTTAGTGCTGATGAGAGCACGAGCTGCCAAAAACCTTGAGCCTCAAATTTAGTTTAAAGATGTGTCAGCAATACATACACTCGTAAAATGGGTAACATAATCACAGAAAGAAAATAACAGTTTCAATGGACTTCGGGACATAGTAGTTTGTTCATCCTTAGTAGGTCATTCTAAGAGCTAAAAGAAGTAGAAAAGCAATATTAAACTTCACTCAGTGTTTTACTGCTAATAGTATTGTTATAAGATACATATAATCTATGTTGTATATACTATAATGATATAGTATTATTAATGTTTGTATTGTTATTTTCAAGCTATCTTGTATATTTAGCAGGATACAACAAATGAGAAATGGTATCAATCAGGAGAGGCGATTTTGCTGCCATAACCATCAACTTCAGGCCCCCAGTGGTCAGAAACAATAAAGATTTATTTCTAGCACAAGTTCTACATCCCATTACAGGTTGTCAGGAGGCTCTCTTCATTATAGTTTCTCAAGGACCCAGGCTGATCAAAACTCCATCTCTGTACATGTCCACACTTGCTGAGACTGGGGAAAGAGAATGTAAGCCAGAATCAGCAGTGAAGCAATCTAGCCTGGAAGTGAGAAAATGCTATTTCTCCTCACAACTCATTGGCCAGCACGACGTCATGCGGGCAAATCCAACCATGGGAGGACCAGGGAGTTCAGTCCCTCACATGCCCAGCTGGAGCTGAAAACAGAATCTCAGTGAGCGACATTGAAGACTGCCACAGGACTTACGTGAACACGCAAGAAATGAGATATAAGCATAAGCTCAAAAAAAAGTCAATTAAAAACCCTATAATTTAAATATAG